CTGTTTGATCAGTTTTTTAAGTCATCCAAGCACTATGCTATTGGTAGTTGTAGAACAAATAGGATTTTAGTTTAACCACATAATAATTTCATTGGTTGGGCTACATTTCATGTATTGTGTTCAGTTTTGGACTTCTTATCTTAAAAAGAACACTGAATTGTTGGAAAAGGTTCAGACGAAGGCTATTAGGATGAAAAGTTTGTATTACGAGAACAAGTATCTCTGAAATTGTTCAAAAAAAGAATTTGATTGAAATATTTAAGATTGTTAAGAGAATTGATGCATAAAATATTCTTCCTTACTTAATGGTGAGAATTGCAGGACTAGGTGACACAAATATAAATTTTGGCAAGATAGGAGTCATCTCCAGTTGAGAGAGTTTTGGTTTTTATAATAGATTAGTTTGCCTCTGGCATGAGTTGCATTCAGTTGTGGTTATTGCAGTAACTTTAATTAAGTGAAGACTTGATAACTATTTAAATGTCTTTGAGTTGTCATTTTTAAAGTTTTGAGTAGTGGATGGGACAAAATGGATTGACCAACAGGCCCCTTTTGTCCTCAAATTTTGTTATTGTAGAATTACCAAAGATTTATTTTATATGTTGACTAGAATTACATTTTTACTTTAGATATTAATAATTTCTACATGTAAAAGTGGGTAAGTTAAATAAGACAAATAGTGGTATACCAAAGAGCTAGGCAATTAGCTCGATTAACCATGAGTATGAATTAGTGTCAGGTATAACAACTGATTAACCAATATTGCAATTAATGTCATAAAAATGTGATTATTACTACTTTTGATTATTCTAACTATCCAAGTCTGACATTGATTAGGTGAAGGTAATAAATTAATGAGTCAGATGAATTATTTATCAAATTCTACTAATCACCAGCTCGAATTCGCGGCCTCCCTTTTTTTATTGCAACCAAAACAAACTGCAACTCTGACCTCTTTCGACTTCTGTAAAATGAGCCATCTTACCACTCACCTCTTTGTATAATAAATTTTGTGCATTTCAAGCAGAAACAAAATTAATATGGCAATGTATGGTACTGTTCAAACAACCACGAGCCTCTATTGGATGGACTGAAAAAGTATTTCATCATCTGTTGTTTTGCTCACGTTACATCACACTCAGTAGCTTAAGCTACACGTATTCATTTAAATCAGCATTTTTACATGGTTACTTATCAAAAATTGAATTTTATAAAATGATGTCTACATTTATAATTTACTGATTTTCTGCCATATGTCAAATGTGCGCTAAGCCTATAACACTGCCCTACAAGATCACTAAGCTAAGCCTATAACACTGCCCTACAAGATCACTACTATATATATATATATATACACAAGTATGATGTTTTGAAATGTGTTTTATACTGATACTGATGCTACTAATTTATTCTTGTGAATTCTTCAGCTGATATAATGTTAAAATACTAAACAAAATAAATAAATGTGAAGCCCAATCTGTCATTCAATTTATCAAATGTCACCGAGTTATACCAGTTTTTGGGGAATTCACCTCTCATCGGGAACTCTGAGCAATTAGTGAGATTTAATAATTAAGTAATCTTTGGGCCCATTACTTATTTATTCTCAAGAGATCTGGATAGTTGTAATAATCGAAAGTAGTAAGTAGCAGAAACACTAATTTTGATTATTTGAACATTTCCATGTCATATTAAACAATTTAATTGTAATTCTATTTAATCAATTATTTTATGAGATTAATCGATGCCACCCCTTTCCAGAAAATTTTATATTTAAGGAAACAAAACGGTGCATTTCCTGGATGAAGTCAGTTAACCAACTACAATCCATTATAGAAAGCTGTTAATTCTAAAAAATATATCATTAAGATAGTAGTCAAAACATGAGATTTTTTACTAATGTGTGAGAATAGATCCAGTTTCACACTCGACGAATGAGTTGGAAACCTTGCTCTTATAACACACCAATGGGATGCGAACCATTAGAGTTTAGGGCTCCTTGTTCTATATGGCACTGAATTGAATTAGCACATTTTTCCTTTATTCTCACTAACTTAATTGTCCACAGCTACCAAAGTCTGAAAATAAATGTACATTGTTAAACATCACATACACCATGTTTGTGCGATATAGTCATATAAAGAAGTCTGACTGATACAAATGAAAAGCACTGGCTATAGTATATAATTAAACATCACTAGTAAAACATACATGTATTTATCAGTAAAACTAATAATTTTGTCAGGATCAATTTAACTACAAATTAGACCCAATGTAACAAAAAAAAAAAAAAAAGGAATTTTTTTTTTTTTAATTTCGTGCAAAGCTACATGAGGGCTATCTGCACCAGCCATCCCTAATTTAGCAGTGTAAGACTAGAAGGAAGGCAGCTAGTCATCACCACCTACCGCCAACTCTTTTACCAACGAATAGTGCGTTTGACCGTCATATTATAATGCCTCCATGGCCAAAAAGGTGAGTATGTTTGGTGTGATGGGGATTAGAGCTCGCAACCCTCAGATTACGAGTCTAGTGCTCTAACCACCTGGCCATGCCGGGCCTAAGAAAAAAAGAAAGAGTTGAAATAATTCCCTTAATTTTGACTTAATATAATGCCAGTCAACCTGAACAATTAAAATGAATAACAATAAAGTAACAATATTGATATTAATAACTACAATATATGCTCAGCCAGCCATGTGGACCAATCATAGTACCATTAATTATTCATATCTATATATATATCAAGACGAAATGTGTGTTCATTTCAACCCTACTTCCTCCGAGTCTATAGGGCCAATCTTAACCAAAATTTGTATGCAAACACTATGAACTATGGGGAATGTCTTAGAGCAGTCACAATTGAACTTAACTTTTTTTTTTTTTTGTAAAGCCTGTTGGTTAATTACTCCCAGCTTATTGAGTCAATCTCAAACAATCTTGGCAGGTTGATGCTTCAGACAATTTTGAATATTCTAAAGAGATTCAAGGTCAAAATATGAAAGTTGCTGGATTGTTTCTCAAACAACCAAGTTTTTTTCATGGTCGATGAGATGTAAGGTGTTCAAAATCTTTATTTGTAGGTAGATGGAAAGCAAACTGCAAACATTGTTTATGGAGAAGCTTTGTTATAATTTTAAAATAAAGTTCATGTTCAACTTATTACTTTGAAATATATGATTGCTGTTAAACTTACATTTTATTAAATAAGTTAAACATTCCCCGCCAGTTGACGGGTATTTCAGCTTATCGTTATTATATGTCATTGGCCACTCATCAACTCTTCAATATATGTTCTACTTAACTGAGATTACCTTTGCAAAAAAAAAGAACAGAAAGAAATCGAAACTGGTTCAATTTTTATTCAAGGTCAAAGTTCAAGGTTAACAATTATATTTTCAATGTTAAAGATTTTTCATAGACAATTAAAGTAGGCATATTTAGCTCTTTCACTACTGTCTCAGTAGATTACTCCAATCATGCGACCCCAAAGTGCCACATCAACTGGTCAGGGAACCAACTAGGAACAATGATGTTTAGATTTATTGTTAACTACCAATGGAGAAATGGTTGAGAGAGTGGAGAGCATGTGGGTGCAAGTGATCATTGCTCAATTAGGTTTGATGTTTTGTGGCATAGATTTTTATTACAAATCTCAGAAAAGCACATTTTGAAGGGATGAAACAAGAATTATCTATTGTAAACTGGCCAACTGGAGTTACCAATGAAATGTGGAAATTTTTAAATATTCAAGATAGACACGTTCCTTACAGAAAAAAAGGGATGTTTGCAAGTCACAGGTTGACTCACAAAGTATAAAGGTTAAAATTAAAGAAAAAGCATTATACATTTAAGATGCTGCTGTGATGGCAGTCAAAGAAGATT